AATTCTTACAAAATATATTATAATAAAAATATACCTTAATAGTATCGCAATACATTACTCATTACACAGTATTTGTGCTTCCTTACTAGTTTAAACATTTCAACATATTATTAATAACAGACCGTACAAAATATTATAACAAAAATATACCTAAATAGTATCACAATACATTGCACATTACACAGTTTTTGTTTTTCTTAATTTAATAATTTTATGCATGTATTGTAGTAAATAAATAAATTAACTCCCTTACTAAAAAATTAAAAAATATGAATATAATTTTAGTTTATAATGTATGTATAACAAAAATTTAAATTAATATTAAAATATAATCGGTACCTATTCATTTAAAATATCACAGTTTATTGTATTATGGTTTTCTAAATTTAAGAGATTTATGTTAAAGTTTACATAGTAGAACTTATATTATACAATTACATTGTTAAACATTTAAAATAATATCTCTTTTATGTTAAACTAAATTGCCTTTTTTTCTTCTGATCATTGGTATGTGGTAAGTTGTTATGAAATGGATAGTGACCTTTTCTATCATTGGTCTTAATGATTGTAAATCATCAAACTTTAATTTAGTTATAGGTAATATACCATTATATAAAGGTATAAGGTACCTACATTATATAAGCTCACTAATGCTTGAGTTTGATCTGGATGCACGATTAGTTTAATATTTCATTTAAACATTCCCAATCATTATAATTTCCACAGCTATCTGTAAAGTCAGTCTAAAATAATATATTCCCATTTGAACAATACAAAATTCTACATACGTCTGTAATGCCCAATCACCTTCTTTAATATAATATTAACTAATTGCTCGATAATAACATTTTTTTTTTTTTTAGCAACCATACTGAGGCTGAAACCAAAGTTTGGTTTCGATTTTGATAGTTGCTGCCATCAAATATTAAGGTTCTTTCTTTGACTTCAGTAGATAAATTGGATATATAATCATAATACATTATGTAAATTAATGTGCTGTTACATGTATTTTGTTTTCGTGCCATACGCATTTAGAGTAATATCATGATCATGTAATCTATAACTAGTGAAGTTGTGTACTTCCAAATTTTATTTATAAGACATTAAGACATTGCTGATGCATTAGTAAGTCGGTATAAAAGTACGCTTTTCAAATCCATTGTAATAACGATTTTGGTATTACTAGCCTAAATTTTTTGACGGTTCTTTTCTTCCCGAGCTAAAGTTTTCTTTTTTAAATTTGCATTAGGTATATTCATTTTCCGCAATAGTACAATTTTTATAACCACAGCAAACATCACACTGCTCTTTTCTTGGATTATGGATTGCGATTTTTTCTGATTTCAATGTATTTAGAAATAAAGTTTTTGAAGCTGATAAAAATCTCTGTTCAATAATCCAAGCACTGTATACTCTAAACATATCTGAAAGTGAAAAAAAAGTTGACGCTACGTATATATTGGGAGTTGATTTCCTACAATAATGGCTAGGGACCCTTAGGCAATAATTCAAGCCATTCTTTAATTTTAATTACTCTCAATCTTTTTCATTTTTCTTGTTGCTGTTAATACTTTAGAATTTTCATAATTTGTACTGAGATAATTATTTGTTTTGTTGTCAGGTAAGTCATCAGCTTCTATTTCTGAATCAATAACTATTTCATATGATTTGGTACAATGTTTTAAACTGTTTTCACCCGGGCAAAGTGAATTTAAAAAAAAAATGTCAGAAAACTTTCCTTTTTTCTGCACCTAAATGTATTGAAATATTTTTGCCCTCCGTTTTTTTTTTTTAGTTTCTTATTCTTTTTTAATTTTCTTCTCCTTACAATTTTCCTTGTCTGTACTAGACCTTTTACATAACCTTTTTTTCATCCCAAGTCTCAAATGACCAGAACTGTTCAAGTAAACGCATTCTAACCCCTTCAGAAAAAAAAAGTCCACACATAAAAATGTTTTTTGATTTTTGAACTTTTTCAGAATGTTTGCACCTAAATTTTATTTCTCGACCATCAATTACAGAGTTTTCAATTAATTTTCCATCAACTAATTTAGAACCAATACAAGATTATTCAGCGACTCTATTTTTATTTGCTGTTATTTAGAATTAGAAGTAAATTGCATAGCATTTTCATTGTTACCTTCCAATTGTACATTATCCAAAAGAATATCAGAAATATTATTGCGAGTATAATTTTACTGTTTAAATATATTGTTGTCATTATTTATTACAGTCTCATCAAAAATGTTATTAGAAACGACATTAACATTGTCTAATGGCATTGGATCATTATTTGGTCTTTGATTTAAAAAAGCATCAGAAAACCATTTTGTTCAATTACTCTATTTTATTCACTTAAATTAAGTTCTTTTAAAAAAGTATTGAAATTATGATTGTTTTCATGTGTTAGAGTTTCTTCAAATGCAATAGGTATCAAAATGTGTATGTCTACACAATTTAGGTTGTCTTGGTTTAAATCTAAATTTGGTCTAATTTGATTAATTGTATTCAAATCAACTTCCGCATTACCATCATTTACAGACCAATTTTCAAGATACCTGTCATTAGTATTTGATCCTGTATTACTTACAAAAGGTTTTGTTGTAAATTTTGAGTGATCAGTTGAAGTTAGTGTTTCAGTCCAAGCTTTCTCCAATAGCGTACAATTGCTGTTAGCTACACCTAATAATTTAAGACAAAGTTTCATTTTTAAGGATATAAAAATAAATTACATCGAAATTTAATAAGTGAAAAATTAGTCATAATAATATAAAAAAACACAATTTATAATATCCATAAATGATAAAACCACCCATGTGTTCTCAAAAATATTCTTGGCACATAGGAACTTTTTCAAACTCATTTTAAATTTATCTACACATAGATTATTAAGTTTATCATTTTTCATTTATTGTGCCATGAACATAGCTCATCGGAGTTTTTAAAATATTGTAGAATATTTTTTCTGGATTCACATTTCAAAAACATACATTATGCACATAGGAGGCTTGTTCTCGTTAACCATGATAATATGTTTATCCAATAATAAAGATAGTAATACAATTAGAAATCTGAAAACATACATACATTTTGTTTCAGTTTATTTTGTGGTGTCCCCTTAATTAAAGAAATTATGTTGTATAACTTTATCAATCAAAATTGGATAGAAATTCATCAAAAGGCATTTTACTAATATAATTTATAACACATAATTTAAGTACAAAATATGTATTTTACTTATAACAGTTATTCTAGTATGATAAAACTTAATTGTATGTTCTAAATTATAATACAATAATAGTACATTTAGTTTAAGTTTATACAATTGTATTATACTGTTCAATTCCTGGCTTAATAGATTGACAATAATGATTTTATCTGTAAGATAAATTACAAAAATGTAATAAAAAAATAATAATTTAGTATAGTACAATAATATATACATATAAACATATATTTAATATATAAAACATGTTTTTGTTTAACTGTTTAAAGAATACATTTCAATATTATTTGTTTAAAATAAATCAATAATTTTAATTACATTTACAATAACATTTGTTAATATTAGTAAATATGGTATTGCACATGTTTATACAATTATTATACATTTATAGCTATCACTAACTTTGAAACAAAAATTTTTTTTTGCTGTTTAACTTTTTTTTCATTATATTATATTTATAAGTACAACTTATTTAATAATTAATAGATTTTTTAGTTTTTTAAATTCCTTAAATTTCTTTTCTATTTTAGCAACCCAAAAGTCTGTATGAATATGTTTAACAGTTATATATATTTTAACTAGATATTAATAATAAAGTAAATTGAAAAATAATATAATTTTTATTACAGTAAATAGAACAAATTTTAAAAGCAACTATTTATTAGTTTGATTTGATGTTCACGATTATTATTCTGAACATTTTGTAATACCTAAATGGCTAAATAATAAATCTTTTACCACACACATAGTTTGGCCTACTATAAAAATCATAAATTGATACTATTTTATTTATTTGTGTAATGTTTTGAGTAGAATGTTAAAATATTATGTTATTTGTGAAAAAGTACTGAATTAAAGTTGGAAAGGTGAAGGTTAAAAAGTAATCATAGGGACAAATTAAGTGAAATACTTGTATATATTTTTTACACATAATACTTTAAATACTACATAATTCATTAGATGAAGACACTCATTTTTTTAAAACTATGAATTTTTTTACTTTATTTTAAGTCATTACAAAATTATATAATTCTTCATTTTCTTAAAAATTATATTTTAAAACAGTTTTCATCTTAGAATATTAATATTTGAATTACAACAAACAGTTTTTATTTGATCTTTGAAAGCAGAATATTTTTCTGAGTTTATGAGTCATAAAAATCGATTATATAATCATAAATCGATCTACAACCTAAATGTACTATAGTTCAAAAACAAAAAAAACTCAGTAACAGAAGAGTAAAACAACAATATTATTATTTATGATTTTAATAGATCAACCCAGGTACTAAATTTTCATACGCAATTCTTTTGAACATAGAATTTATTTTATTTACAGTTTGCCAATAATTAGAAGGATTGATATAAAGTTATAAACTAGACACGGCAAAGGTCATTTTTTTTAAATTATACAGTACAAACACAAACAAAAAGTATATATTATATTATATCCTCAAAAATTTGCTGATAATCCCTATAGTTAACTATATTTATTCAACATACAGTGGGAAGTGTGTCAAAATAATATCATTGAAATTGAATAGTTATGCATATTTTTACATTAACGTTCCATATTTTTCATGAATATAGTATTATACGCTGATAATAAATATTGTTTAATACACATAAACAAAACAAAACTGTTTTTGAAATTCAAGTATTAAAATTAAGAATAATTTGTCTTAAACAATTTATGGAATATTTTTTTACTAATCAATATAAAATTGATGAAATTAAAATTGATTTTTATGATTGACAAAATAATTTTGTCTAAATAAATTTATAAGTAAATCGTCATAATAATACTCATAATAAATCTTTAATTGTCTGGCGCACATCTTTTAATATTTCTTTTAACTTTTTAAAAGTCCCTATAGCATTTGGCAAGTTTTCATGATCTACCATATCAACCATTCCTTTGGCAAAATGTTCATGGGCTGGTCGATTTCCATATGAAGAAAAGTTTTTGAGAACTGGAGTACCAAGGGTTTCAGATTTCACATCACCGAATTGCCTTTTTGATGTTGGTGTCAAGACTAATTCATTGTCTATCTTCATTGAATTGGAAACATTTGATTGGGAATCATTTTGGGTATCTGCACTACTCTCAAGCGACATTGACATATTTTGCTCATCAATTCCTGGTACTGTTTCATTAGATAGGCACTAAAAAATATAATTTCATTAAATTAACATATTAGTTAAATCAACTCTACAACAGATGTCATTTTTATTAAGTTTTGTATTCAACTTAAATTTCTGATATCTTAGTAGTTTTAACAATAAATATAATTTAAAAATAAAATATAACGTAAAATACAAATAATAATATTTATAATTTATTTTTACAGAAATAAATTACTACAATAAAATTTACTATGTACCAATATTTCTTTTTTCCTCAAAATGTAAAATTTAGACTCGAATTTAATGAACTTATGCTAGAGAAATGTATTAATACAACTTAAACACACTAACATTATAATAAATCTTACCTCTTCATCATTATGGTCAGATCTAGTTTCATCTTCAGTAATTTCTCCATCTTCAGGCGATGATGGTGGTTTATCCTTTAATTCTTTTTCGGTTTTTAAATGCAAGTTATTTCCTTCAGTTGAACGTTCTAAATTAACTAAATATATTTATATTTTTAAAATTTTAAAGTAGTTATATCATTTGATATAAACAAACTTAGATATAATATGGAAGTATGTGTGTACCTGATTGCCATCAGTGTAAGGAATTTAAAGCCTAAATTATGTTAAACAATTTGTATCAAATTGGGGTATGCATAATTACTTCTCACTATGTATAGCAAGTGAAATATTTTAAGTTGGCCATAAGTTGTGTATACAACTAGACCATTATATATAAATATAAATTGTTTTATCAAGATTAATTAATTTAAATACTTTGATTCTAAAGCATGTAATATTTTGATTCTAGAACCATTGTCAGTTTCTTTAGTGAATGCTTATTGGATATTTTCAAGCAATTTTGTTTATATATTAGATATAAATTAAGTTTAATTAGGACTGAGAAATTATTTTTATTTTATACCCATAACGTAAAGAAGATAGTGTTGAATAAATGAAGAATTTACAAGCCTAATTATAAGAATTCAAAAACTTTGAACTATTCAAAATTAATTTTTAAATAAAATGTTTTATTATTTCTTTCAAGTAGAATATCAAAATACAAAAATAACACTTCAGCTTTTAGGTACAAGTTCAGCATTTGTTTAACAAGAATAAAAGAAAAATTTTTTAATATTCTAGTCAATTTCTAGTTTAGTAAAATTAACCAAATAGCAATACTGAGTACTTGAAATTGCGTTAAGCCCAGTAAAAGGTTATGATACCAAAAAAACTAATGCTAAAGATATTTAACTGATTTTAATAAATTAAAACATTATAGTGAAGAAGATGTCAGCACAATATTTATTTTCTCTCACACCTACATGCAATATAAATAAAAGTAATTCATGTAAAATCGTTTTTAAACTTGATTAACCTTCAAATGACTTAAGTTAATTTTTTAAGGGTTTGACTTATTGGTTTTATATTTTATTATTGGACTTTAAAAATAAAAATAAATTAGTTAATTTAAATGGATATTAAATTGTTTGGGATAATATTTAGAAAAATTGATGTCACACCATATCATTCTCTATAATCGTAATGAATGATTTTACTCTTAGACTACTCAAAATGATTTTAGTTGGATGCATTTTGTCTATGATAGGCGTAGGACAAAGAGAGGAAATAAACAGTGCACCGACATACTCAAAAATCATTACCATTAGAGATGGATGCAAATTCTGTGTCTTGACTGTGAATACTTTCTCCAGACAATGCTCTTTCATTTTTACCAATTTGGCCAACTTTTAATCTTTCATACATATGTTTGAGACTTTGATCTGGATTATATTCAGGACAACCAAATTTTTTACTTTCCTAAAACAATAGTACAAATATTACATAACACAGATTACTAAAAAAATGTAGAAGACGAATATATGTAAACATAATCAAAATATCAAAATAAAACATGTAACATTCAATTAATAAATCATGATTTTTTAAATGTTACATTTTACTAAATTATTTATCATAAGGGAACAGATTTATATAAACAAAAAATCCTCAAAATATACTTTTAAAACTAATGTAATATGTAAAAAAAAATTTTTTTTTTAAAGTAAGTATTACAATAAAGGGTGTTTCATCTTCACTTCGTTCTTCTTCAATAACATTCTAAATCCAAGTTAGTAAAAAGTGAGAAAAAAATTAATTCATATTTTACCTTGCACTAGATGATCAAAAGTTGTCTTATTTTAATTTCTTATCATTGACAACCGATAGTGATTTTATAGTGATAGATATTGTAGACTGATAAACAATGGTCTATATTTTTTTTAAATTTAATCTAATAATAAGTAAATTATTACCTACTTTTATAAGTAAATGATAAATGATAAATCTATGTAGCTATGAACGTGAAAGTATAAGATGAAACAAAAATATGCACTATAAAATCACAAGTATGTATAAATATGCAAAACCAGGTAAAACGTTGAAATATGTAAAATAAAATAAATTAGTGTTAAAATAAGAATTATCTTAATTGGGAACAATTCTCATAAAATTTCAAACAGAATATTTCAATACATTTATGCGATTGCATATGAATCTGTTCCCTATTTATCATATTATAACTTCTTAAAAAATGTACATCAACAAAATCTGGTGGACAAGGAGCATTAAATCCAGGATATTCATGTAATTTTCTTTCATTGATATTGCAATGGAAGTAATCATTTATTCCATTTTCTCTACCGGGAAGAGGTAAACCTAAAAATAAAAACAAATATTAATGTTTTGTTCAAATGCAACAATATACAGGATGATCCATTTAAGAGGGTACACTAAGTATCTCAAAAAGTATTAACTTTTTACAATTTTTTTTTTTAAAACTTATAGATTTATGTTTTTCTTAAACTGTATAATATTTAAAAATCTATTCGCCTTTATATTTATTGATGAAACCACTAACAACTTTTGATTTTCAAATGAGAACATATGATAAAAAGGTCATATATTAAATTTAAAAAAAAAATTTTTTTTTAATTATTTGTGTACGCTCTTAAATGGATCACCCTGTAAGTAAATTTGACTAATAATTTTAAGTAAATAATGAAATCATATATATATAAAATCAGATAAGTAGTGCACTTAGTAGAAATAAATATACTAAATTTTATACGGCCTCGTATAAATATAATTTAGGATAAGAAAAATGTTCTTATTTAAAAATATTTGACTCAATCATACGTATTTGTAGTTACAAATAATATCATCAAGTCAAACCCCAATATAATTGATATACATACATTTAAAATATTTATTATATACTGATGATGTGATTTTACACTTTTCTGAGCTAATTTTTGATCTGTTATTGTAAAGTATTTTGAAATGCTTTTCTATACAAATGTATATAATTTGTAATACAATTAAATATTAAATTATTAAAATTTTAAACTCCAAAAAAATATAAAACAGTGACCACTTATATGAAGTATAAATAATAATTGAAATAGTATTAGAAAGTTAAAGACACTTATAATTACGTTCATTAGGTGTAGTATATATTGATATTCCGGAATATTCTTCTTTAGCTTCTTCTAGCCATCCACTAGGATAACCATGCTGTCGCATTCTATAAATATGTAGCGGGAGTCCATTTTTAGGAACACCTAATGCTTTTAACAAATCATCACTTAATTTACCAGGTGTTAAGTCGCTCCATAAAGTTTTAGTTCCTGCTACAAAGTATCGTATATTCTTATGATTGCCAAATCTAAATTAAAATAAACAATTTATCAATAATTAGTTTATTATTCTAAATTGGATTGATTTTCGTCAACTAATATTCTTTTCAATCTACACTTAATAGTTTGAAAAATATATATTTAATTATATTAGCAAATATCATTTTGACATATAAACACAACATAAATTGTAAACAACTTTTAGATTTTTTCTTTAGTTACCGATTTTTATTGTTTCTCCCGCCAGAATTTGATTGATATTGTTGTTTTTGATTAAGAAAAGCCTGTCGGTTTTTTGAAATTTTCCATTGAACTCTAGGTTCTGGACAATTATGCAATGAATGATTTACAGAGTTGCAATTCCAGCATGAATTTTGTCTTTGTGCTACAAAATTATTTTTTCCATATTTATTTTTATTTGGTGAAGTCTAAAACAAAAAAAGTAGAATTTTATAATATCTTTAATTTTTTGATATTGAAAAAATATATTTTTGTACTTAAAATAAGATATAAAATATAGATATTATATTGGCATCAGTTAATTTTAATCAGACATTTTAAATGTGTTCAAAAACTAAATTAACGATTATTATTGTAGAATAGTAATTTCAATTATTATTAAAAATTAATATGTATGTTCCAAAATTCAGCTAAATTAGCTAATATTTTCAAATTCTGAGAAGAGCAATAAATGTATGGATTGATTTTACAATGATGTAATTTAATTTTTTTGTCACCACATTTTGAACCAGTTGATGCACACAAATATACAGAAGTGAAAGTGGTGTATAATAATATGTATAATGATACGATTTACAATAGTGTTCAAGGTGTAATATAAAATATAAATCAACAACTAACTGGGTATGCTGTCTACTATACAGGATAAATATTATAGTATTATAAAAATCATTTATTTTTGCAAAATTAAAAAATGTAAGGTAAAATGTAAGATGGAGACAAAAACGAACGGGTAACGTCCTTTTAACATGTACATTTATAGTATGCATGTTCTCCTAAAATAGTCTGGCTTGCAAATTTAAATTAACACAAACCAAATTTTTTTAAGTGGGAGAACTTATTGAATTTTAGAAACTTCCTAAAAAATTACTTATTTAGGTAGATCTGTGAACTATTTTTGAACATGCCTATGCACTTACACAGCACCAATTTACCTATCAAGTAATCCTAAATTTGTTGACTTAAAATTAATTTCACATAGAATTGTATCTAAATAATAGGTACAACAATTAGGTATTTTAGCAATTATTAATATGATCATTCATTAAGTAAATAATTAGGTCAGTAAGGATGTTAACACGTTATTTATTGTCTCTCTATGATTAAATTAAATGAAATATAAAAATAAAAACAAATATGCATTCAGCAAATCTTGTGTTGTCATCTTTAAGGTGAATCAATCGAATTAAATTTAATTATTGCACTTAACATGCCATATGTATTAACTATCCTACATCTCTAGATATAGATAGCGAAAGCTGACAGTACCTTATTGTAAATAAAACAAAAATAAATAAATAAATAAATAAAATGAAGATTAATTGAAGAACTTAATGTAGATTTATTATGCAACAGATATGATATCAGATTACTTAGATATTGCTGCAATGTTAATAGTAATTAGAACTAGCAAGACATTGAATTGAGGAAATTTCCTAAACCTTGATGACTTCTCCCGTGAACAGATTATAAACAAATATTCATTGAGTAACAATGAAAATAAAATTCCCAGATTCATTTTTTGTAAAAATAAGTTCACCAAATAATAAATTATACAAATATCTTCACTTTGTTGGCTATTGGAAGAACCAAGATATCCAGTAATCAGTGATTGGTTGCAGGGGTTTATAAATAACAATGAATGTAAAAAAAAATCATTGGAAAATAGAATACCACTACCACTTATTTCATGTCCAAAAAGAAAAAAGTAAATTCGTTGAAGATTCACCCAAATATGCACATTAGGAAAAAATAAAATATGCTGGTTTACATTTATTTCAGTAACCTAGTTATAAAAAATGTATAAAACCTAAAAATTTCAATTCAATTTTTTTTTTTCAGAATACAGCACAAGTGTCTATGTTAATACAATTGTAGGATCGGTACTTTCTTAAATTATCAATTTAATACTAATAAAGAAAACATTATTGCTTCAAACCTGATAAAAATACATTTTAATGTCTACTTGAACTTTTGTTCAATGTTTTTTTTAGTATTGTATTATAGCACTTGTACATTTATAATACTCTTTGGGTTTTTAGACCAATGAAGCATTTCTTATAAAATATTTAAATATACAAAATCTTAAGGGATTTCTGGAGTATATTATTTAAAATTATAGGTATTTTAAACAGTTTCCTAACTTTTTAATAAATAACACTGTGCCCAGCATTATTGTTAACTGTTATGTATAACATGTTGGAAGTATTTAGAAGTGCAAGTAGGTAAATGAAAATATTTAGAAATGGAAGTACTTAGAAGTACATGCAAAAATATATGGAAGTACACATAGTCAGAAATCTGGTGTACAAAAAACTGATTAGTGGTTTCCCCACGGTACCTAATAAAAATAATATACATTATGTGTAATTGAAATATGACCCATGTTAAGTATAAACCTGTGCTAAAATATATTTTAATTACCTCGTATTGTATTGTACGATTTAGCCTAAAGTTCTTAGTTTTGTCAATAACAAACAAGGGTTCGGTTTTTTCTTTTGATTCTAAGTCATTGGTTTCTGAATAATAATCTTGTCCTGAACCATCAGAAGGTCCAGAACCATCGTGTGGTCTAGAATTACTGTATAGTTCTGAATTATCATAAGATCTTGGGCAATCATATGGTGCTGTACCACTGAATCCTGGTTCTAGCATAACATCTCCAAATCCTTCATTTGTAGTATATTCAAATTCCATGGTCCCATCGTTTTCATTCATAATGAATTTTAATCGAATATCACTATAACAAATACAAGGTATCATATATGAGAATCAAAATATATGATTTATTGATCTTTGTAGGGATAATATTAAATATGTATCTGTGTTACAATATTATATTTTACAAACACAGACATTGAACAATAATAAGCAAAATTATCACAAAATTCACAATGCATACATACATTGAGGTGCTCGGAATTAAAATATATTATTGCATATAGGACACTGTGGGTGAAATTGATACAGTGTTCTAAATCTCAAGATTTAAAGATTTAAGCTACAAATATTATTTACTAGTAAACATAAATCCCATTGTAAATACTTACCATCAAAATATTAAACAAACAGCACTAAGTGAACTGACTGGATTTAATATCTCAACCAACCTAATTGGGCTGTAGAGTTTGTAATATTATTAGTATTACAGCATTACCGATGAACAAATATCAACCAAATTACATTACCATTACCATTAAACGAGATGCAAATCTTAAATCGTTATTATCACTGGCGAAAAGCGGCTAGTGGACCATGATATCGCGGCATCAACAACAGCAATAACACTTCAGATCGAACAATAAGTTCTAATCGTAACAATATTATTTGTAACAAAAAAAAATTGACAATTACAAATTTTTAACGCAATACTCTCAAACACTTATCGTTGACTTTTTGAAGTCCGGTCGGTACGATGCCATAAACGAAGAATTAATATCTATAGAGATAAGACTCGGAATATTTCGATTTCGTCGGTGACTGGTTCTTAGTGCAATCTAGCGGTCAATAATATTAACTAGTTTTATCAAATTGTACATTAGAATAATTATTAATTAATATTTCTAAGAAAGAAGACTTCTACTATCAAATTCAGGTCTAAATTCGAGTGAATTAAGGTACAGTGGATACGTAACTTATGCTTCAAGTTTCCGTAACTTCAGGCGGACGTTGTCGTACAAATACTAAACGTCATAATATATTTTATAAAAAATATACATTAATTGATTTTATATTTGTTTCGAATAAATTGAATAATATATAAGGTTTTCAATACAATAATAGAAGTTGTTGGCCGTGTTTGGCTAATTTCTTATATTTATTTCAAAGAAACAACAATGACAACGTCTCAACAGTTTGATTCAAGTACTATGAGAGGTAGCTAATAAATTATTTCCTATGTATCTTTCATTGTTAAAAATAATATTAAAAATAAGTAAAGTTTTAATAATATTTTTTTGTAATGGAAAGAAATACGAATGAAGTATACATTTGTTGGTACAAATTGCATGTGAATTATAAAAGAAATCAATAATTTCTACATGTTAAATTTGCCTTGTTTGTACAGACATAATAAAGACAATTGATTATAATATACTAGAATCAATGTACAAAAAGTAAAAATTCAAGACAAATTTACTTATTTTGAATTGCTTACAAATGAATAAGGCCATTTTAATTACTTATATTGTTTATAGTTATATTACTTATATTTTAAAGTGTCTTAAAAACTGATTGACTGCTGCCTAAATTGAGTTATTGAGGCTATACATACATTTTAATATACAGCGGTTCCAAACCTTATAATATCCCAGTATCACCAACGAATTTTTAATGTGCATGTTCATGTATCTCTTAAAATAAGGGATACATATATTATATTGCTTAACATTAATAAATAATTCTAATTTTTTCTTCAAAGTCACGATCATTAGTTGGAAACCACTGATTTAATATAAACATTGAAGGACTCAGATAAATTGTATGTACTTTATACATTTATAAATAAATAACAATTTTAATTAAACTATTATTTTAGATTTAATTTAATATAGATTTATATAGTCGACTATAATATGTTTATATAATTTTGATACCTTTCATTTTTCAATAATTGTCTTTTAAACATTTTAGTTATTTTGGCTGAGATTCTGGAATCTCTTACAACCTGTGAAAATGCCTTGAATTTAGAAGATGCTAAGAGTAAAGCTGGTAACGATATGCTAAAAGTTATGCAGTATGTTTATCCAATAGTTGTCAGCACTCAGATGGATGTAATAAAAAAATACGGACTTCCTGAAGGACGAGAAGGTAAATAACAATAATTATGTACACCATATCTCTATCATGTCATAAACTATTATAAGTATATTGTGAACTACAAAATTTTTTTATTCAACAAATTGTTTTTACTCTCCGTATAATTGTGTCAAGTTTATAGTATTTTGTTTCCTTGCCCGTTATTAATATTTTAAAAATATGTTGTTTCTGAATTGTTTTTAATATTAATAGAAGAGTTCCTATAATTTGTTTTATCGTCATAATGAAATTATATTAGAGTAGGTATTATGGTTATTATTGTATTATCATAGCATTTGTACTTTTTAATTTAACAGCCTCCAAAAAACTTATTTAATATTTATTTTAGAAACATTTTTATGTGAGTACTATTTTTTTTCTATTTGATTTCCTTTAACATGATTACATAAATACATAAAAATGTATAATGTATTGTAATAAACTTCAGTTGCTTTTTTTTAACTGCCAAACGATTAACTTACACTCACACAAATAAAGAGTACCTAATAAATATAGTACAACTTAACAAACAATTTTTTTACTATTAGTCAAATTTTTATCCACCCCTCACATATTTTGTAACACTTCAACGGATCAACCTCACACTTAAACTAAATTTCAATAAATAAAGTAGATTGATTAGATGGCTTACAACAAACAAAATATTTATCTTATTCTTAACATAATTCTCTGTATTGTATTCACTATTTTTTATTTTATAATTGCATATATTATCTTCAGTTAAAAATAGATTTTATTTTCTTCATTTTAGGAATAATAAAGTTTACGAGAAGTGTTGTTGCATTTGAAAAAGATGATAGAGTAGTAGCTGATCTTCACCGTCAGATACGATCATTCTATTTACCACCAGTCAATGTTTCAAGTGCTGTAACTTCACATGTGTAGATTAATTATTTTATTTATAAGAAACACTGTGCAAAAGTTAAAATAATTTATTGAATATGTTATAATAAAAAATATTTAAAAACTTAATAATTTAATTGTTTTCTTTTATTAATAAATTTTATTTATGATTTAATTGTTAAATAATTTTGTAGTATTTTTAAATTTCTAAATTAAATATTAAAATTGACTAATAAAGTAATAACTAATAACCATTTAAGTTAATTATAAATTTAAAAGATAAAATATTTATTAGGTTTTTTTTTTAATGTATTGTTTTATTTTAATTACCTACATAGATTATTAGTTATATTATATAATATAATAACATTTATATTTTTTATACTATTTATAATATATACGAAACATTTTTTTTTTTTTTTACCTAAATTATCTTGTTTTGAGTTAAATATCGGTGTGTTTTAAATAGTGGTAAATCATCAAGTTCTTGACTGACACCATATTTGCTGTTAATCGCGTGTATTTTTTTCTTACGCACGGTGAAACTATATTATTGTAGCTAAAAATATTTACATGTTTTGCAAATAATAAAAATAAATGTGCCAGCATTTGATGATAAATAATAGGGAACCATTGGAATCACTACAAATCAAATCTAGATTTTATTTCCTATTTTCAAAATACGACACACATTTTTCTCTACCTGAAATTAAACCTTCATTAATCATTATAAAATAGCACTACATTGCTTATGTATTTGATTCAAGGTTTAATCATAATTAATTTACAATAATAAAAGTTAATGTTTGTTTTATTAAATATAAGTTAGTAGTTGTATCTACGAAATCTTCAACAGGCAATATTATACACCAAATTAATTTTATATTATCAAGGTAGATACTAGTTATTACTTATTTCTGTGCATTTATATATAAATTCATACATTAATAGATATTTTAAACTGATAAAAATAAATGTTAGCTATTAAAATTATTCTTCTAACATGACGACTATTTTATTTATTAGGTACCTACTCTAATTTATAAATTTTTAAAAAATTCAGGATTCTATTTCAAAATATTAGACTTTGAAACTTGAAACTTCCTTGCAGTGTAAGGAAAAATATATTTTAGCAATTTAAAATAGGTTAAACCACTGAAGCATTATGTGTCATACTGTCATATAAGTTCTATGATGTGTATTGATATAAAGATTCGACACTACAATTTAAAATGTTGCTATTTACAATTACAATGCCGTACCTACTGGTGTCGTGAAACTCGGCAAGATCGATAAGACTGTAGGCAAGCGCACCTATTTTTAAAACCAATTTTTGATTACCGAGTACCGACCTGTATTTGAATATTACTATTTACTAGGTACAACCATTTGCCGTACCACCTTTAGGACTTTACAGGCCCAATTATCAATACTGTCATGAGTTATAACTTATTAGAGGAACGAACGTAAAACGATATCTATACTTATGCCATCGTCCCTCAAAAGTCAACATAAGTCAAAAACTATAAAGCTGGCCACGTTCAATAATTATTGGATAATAATCATTAGCTTAGGCTGTATTAAACCTTATAGTGTACGAAGGTTTAAGAGCATGTCATTTATTAATCAGTGGTGCGGGTGATATGACAATTATCGACAATACATATTATTATATAATATTTTGTTATGCATTTACGCCTAGATAGAAAATAATATACTTGTTTACCAATAACTAAATAATGCAATCATATTTTGGTCTGTGGTGTACTGGTGTACTGGCATACGGCGTAATAATAACAGTAAGTTATATGTGTCACGATTTTGTTCATGGTGTACTGTACGCCGTACGGTACCTACATCATATTGTTATTATTCACACCATTAATTGAAACGGAAATTTTCCGATGAAGGTCGTCGCATCGCTCACGTCTGTTAACACAGTTTATACAGAGTGATTCTTTTTACAATAATAAGTGAGGACTCGTCATCTCGAAAAATATTAACGTTTTTTTGAAATATTTTTTCAGATAATTCGGTAGGTACCTACATGATATGTCATAAGCGCAACTATGGGGTTGGGCTTAGCTCTCCTCCCCAAACTAGTCATAGTCCCGTTAAGAAAAATTAGTGTTCGAACTCATATTATACCTAATATAAATTCAAAATTCGAAATAATAATTAAGTACCTACTTTGAAATTTTGAATGTTACACAATAAAACGCTGTAGGTACATGACAAGCACATATTCAATGTCAATGCTAATTATATTATAGCGAAATAGGCATACATATAAACATATTTTTAAGACATCTGACATAAAATAGGTGCCTATTTTGTAATTTTAATTCTTTAATAAAGTGTTTTGTAAAGCGTATTTATACTTATTTAGTTGTCAAATTTTATACTTGACCATCGCCGATAACTCTAATAATTACTGTCCATATTTAGTTTTAGTTAAAAGTATATATTATTATGTACTAACGTTCAACACCTACCTACATAATATCTTTTTCAAAATTTGATTGATAATAATACATCAATAATACAACTTCAAAATTGTTGTTAAGTAAGACTTGAAGCAAGTCGTCTATACTTTTATTAGTAATAAATAATAATAGGTAATATAGGTAAAAATGAAACAAGGTTAAAATAATTATGTTTTTATTTGTAACTAGCAGATCCCATGCACTTCGTTGCTTGTTAAAAATTCCAACTCTATATGAAACTCACTTGTGATAATTTGAGCAGTATATTAACAGGTAGGCAATCCATCTGAGGTGGATTGCGGACCCAGCTCGGTGCATACTCTATTATATGTTTTATTTTTATTTTTATGGTGGACACGCCGATGAGCGGCTATAAGTGCAACTCAGCCACCTTGGTAGGCAATTTTCATAAATTTGATTTGATGCGTGCTTATACGCCCGATCTGCTCGATTGCCAACGGCAACCAAAAAACAAAAGAAATATTAATTTCTACGAAAAAAAATAAGAATAAATTGTCGAATTTTACTTCTCGGAACAATTAATATGTCACTCCAATCAGACACATAATTTGACGGACAAAAACGTCAAGTTGCAGGTAGCTGCAAGAAACCCGCGGCGGCCGTGCCGTACAATTATTTATGTATATAAAAGAAAGTCGTGTTAGTTACACTATTTATAACTCAAGAACGGCTGAACCGATTTGGATAAAAAGTATCCTATGTCCGCCCTCTGTTTCTAAGCTACCTCTCCCCCCAATTTTCAGTCAAATCGGTTCAGCCGTTCTTGAATTATAAATAGTGTAACTAACATATGACTTTCTTTTATATATATGTAGATTTTTTATAATGAAAATATTAAAATAGGCAATGAATAGAGGGATAGATATAAAAATAAATCAGGTTCCTTTTAAGGAAAATGTATAGTGAGCCACTCAGGGGCTTCGACCCTCCCAAAATATGTTTAGTTGTGCAACCATATAAAGTCATTACAAAACCACATTTTATTGATAAAAAATGATACACAATATGTGATATGTATATATTTTTATTATCATCATGCATAGACATTTTAAGTTTTGTACATTTTTGAATGATAATATGACAGCATGCATTTTAATTTCCAAGGCAGAGTATAGGTGCTTTTGAGAATTTAAATTTTAAACGAGTAGTTGGGTAATTAGTTACAACTTTATACTTATATGCGCACCTACTTTAAGTTTCATTACTTCGATAAAAAAATTATAACATATAAAATGTTCAGGAAAATATTATTCGGTTTAGGAATATAGAATTAAAAGTGTGTATTATATGCTGTTTTTCTAAAAAGTAAAAACATTTAAAAATGGAATAAAAAATATGATTACATTATAACAACATTAGGTATTTTGTTTTGTAATGACTTCCAATTTCTACAAAAAAATACTTACAAAAACAGTAATACTTTATTATAATAAGTATTACTATAATTATTATATACCTTTATTGCAATCTATTTTTTGAAATAAATAGGGTTTACCTTTACAATAATCACTCTGTATAGTGTACTTATAAATTAATATAAAATGTATCTATATTAAAAATTAAAATAGTACAAAACGTTCTTATTATGATCATTGTTACATAATTTAATAGGTAGGTATGTATAGTATATGTATACTAGTATCGTGTGCTTGGTGAGTATAATCATCGTGTGTTCGAAAGTGTTCTCGATCCGGTGATCGTAAATAGTAGGTAAATACTATGGTATATAATATGATAGTTAATTTTCCATAATCATATAGGTACCTACACGTACCACGGTTGCGTGTTACATTATAATATATTATACCTTCTACAATATTGTAGCCTGTAGGTACTACTCTTATGCTTTATTACATATTTAAGTTAATATAGGTACTAGGTGCCTACGTTCTATTATACTAGCTAGCTATATGGTAATATATTATAAGCACATGCCAGATGCCTATTAATGCGTATTTAGTCATAATGGTGGGTATAGATATGGTAGATGAAATAGTGAATAATTTAATGATGACTGTAATAATATATTATATTTTAAATATTAATAAGTATGTGCGTACGTGTACGGTTGTGCACTGATTAAAAAAATATTCATATGGACGATAACATTTACAGATTAGACTCTCACACACTATCTAATGATCATTTACTTTTCACCACAAATTAGCTATGATGATTTTCACGCACTGACCAGTCAAAATAATCAATAATTTGCTTATACTTTTCTCCTTAAACCGAGCGGTATGTTTTTCTACATAACACTAATATATTGTTGAAATCCGAAAAATTATATTAGACATCAGTTCTTAATTTCTTATAGTTCGTCGTTTCTGATTAATAATAATAAAAATAATAATAAGTTATATGAAATAAATATTTTTGTACTCAATAGTTTAGTTATTAATTACTATTTTTGAAATTTCGATAATTTTTATAATTTGATACCTCCACATCGATATCAATTTTTATATAGGTGCCTACTCGTAAATATAATATCAATACCTGATTAAAAATGTACAATTGACCAATACCCAATTCTAGTAAAAATGACAATTCATTATAATATATGATGGGTATATACTGGCTACTGGGTATTACTTTCCACACTATGGTAGTTAAATTATA